ACTCTGTATTTTTACTAAAGATTTTCTGAAGTTGTGGATTTGATCACATTTTTGAAGTTAGATATTATTATGAATTCTTAATAACACAGTCCTAGCATCATTCTATATGACTAATCGTCAACGACCTAATTATGACGTGGCTGAACTCCACCAGTCACGACTTATATGAATTTTGGGAATTCATGCTGAAGTCACCACCTGAATTATTCAAACGACGGAGCCTCCAGAGGCCCTATAGGAGCCGAAGAGTTTCCATCCAATCAGAGCGTGATGGAACTTTCCAGAATATCAACGTGGTATGGTACTATTGGAGTAGCATAACATACCTCTTTGCGGACTGGCTGGATTATAATGTTGATACAACAAACGCTTATACCTATAAATGCCCACGATTTTCTGTACATTTTGATTCTTATCCAATAAGCGCTCCTTCAGTCTTCTTTTGTCTTCTAATTTGCGACTGTGGGGTTCTATAGGTTCGAGTGCCGTAGTTGTATACCGTATTCTGCATTAATCAGGTAGCGAATATAGCACAAACCACAAGTGAAGAAATTATAGGTATGAATTTCTGTCTATCATTCAGTATAATATTTCAATGTTCAATATCTAACATGATATGTTGAGTAAGAAAGATCAAGATTTTTCCAATGAAATCACATACTAACCATGAATATGGTTATCCCTAACGTTTTCAGTGTTTATTAACTATATTATATCCAATAGTTTTTGCCATTTTCCGTTTATTCGGTGGATGAGTTTTGTATGCTGTCAATATATTTTTACCAACAAATTCATTTCATGTAATTGAAGCTATCTTCTATGAACATGTCGGTATCCTGAATGAAAAATATAAATATATTGAAAGTCAGGGGTTGAAATAGAATCTCTAATGAAATTTACATTCCAATGTGATGCAGTCACCTAATAAATTAACAGAAAAATGAATAAAGCATAATTCTTAAACATTGGAAATGTGATAAACCTTTGACCACAACGACTAACTTCAACTATGAACTACACAAATGACTCATTAATTACTTTGGTTTTTCAAAAGTTTATGTCATACTGTATCAACAACTGTCACTTATATGGTAATATCACCTTATAAAAAGGTATTATTTGTTCATGATATTTTGTAATATTCTGTTGTTGATAGGAAAGGTTGAATTCTGAACAATTTTTGTCAACATACACCAAAACGTATAATATGTAGAAAAGATCAAGACATCCACCAACGAAACACATTGATACGACTAGATATCGTTTTCCTAACCAAATCCTAGTTCCTAAAAGCTTTCAACTCTAGAATCTTGAACAGAAAACAAAAGGTGAAGTGAAAGCTTTGTTTCAAAGATAAATTTATGTAGAAAAAAACAAACAAGGATAGTCTTAGGAACCTAAGTGACTTAAAGATCCTGGAAACTTCTTGAAACACATAACCAGAATAACGAATACATATATATACATCCTATCTAGATTATTGTATCACTTACTCAGGTCAAAATCAACTGTAACACTTAAACCAATCAATTGGCTAATCAAAATGTATTGTCTCTTTTATTTTTGATTGATTAACCATATTGTAGTAATGAAAAGACTATCAATCATTCATTGTTTACAAATAAGATGTTTATCTATGATTGTTGAAGAGAAGGTTTGTCAAATTAAATTAAATGATACTGATCGGTTAGTTAGTTAATTAGTTGGATTTATAGACTGATATATTTTCTTTTCTATATCCATTTGTATAGTTAACCACATGTTGATTAAATTAATATTTTGATTTTAATCCAGGAATTGATTTATTTGTAGGTACTTATCTTATTTGAAAGACTTCAGTAGTGTTTGGATATTATACTTTTAATATTCTGCTATGCAACAGTTTATCAATGAAGTCAGTTCAGTCTAAACAACTAAGTTATAAGTTCAGATCCTACGAAATTAAGCAACGGATGTAGCATCCTTAACTTTCATACAAACGATTGTTTAGAGGTAATATTCCAGTACATGATCTATTATCATTCTTAGTGTTAGATGGATAGTGATAGTTGACAAAAAAGAAATAATGACTTACAGTTCGTGACACTGAAGAATTGTCAGAAAGATATATATAGTTAGGAATGAACTAGTACTGTTAGATGGATTTTTTCCTGCGTTACCCAACTCTATAGTCTGAGAAACTACCACTGAGTTATCAGTGCAGTGTCATGTAATATTACAATTAAAAAGGGGATTGAATTCACCACCAATCATACCATAAATTAACATTACAACTTCATAGAAGCCTAGTTAGAAATAGTAGATGGCCTAAATTCATGTGAAAAACAAATTTGTAGTTTTTATGTCATTAATTATGTTTCACTAACAGTTACATAGATCCATAAATATGGAATCTACACACTACACGATATAAAATATACGCTATCGAATAATTAATTCTCCTCCGTTTATAATTCGGTTTGATGAGTAGTGTGCTTCAAAAATAATACTCCCTATCACTTTTTATTTCAACTTCACTGAGTTTTACACCGTCGAATATCGTCGTGACAAAAACAGTCACTCAATTTCGTGGATTAGTTGAAGTTAGACATTAACACCGTTGGATGCCGGCCGGCTCAGTAGTCTAATGGTTAAGCGCTCGCACGCGAGACTGATAGGTCGTGGGTTTGAATCTCAAGAGGCAGGATCGCGGATGCGCACTGCTGAGGAGCCCCACAACAGAACGAAGCGGCCGTCCAGTGCTTCCAGGTTTTCCATGATGGTCTAGCTCCAATTGACTCATGAATTCAACTTTAAAATTACTATAATATCCACAAAAACCCATTTGAGATTATGAATACGAAGATTCTTAGGATAGCTATTTAGGTTGCCATTTATAATTCAACTCAAACCTGGTCCATTTTGTTTCGGACGGGTCACCTACTGACCTACTAAATTCATGTAGTAGGTAGATCCAGATAATGAGTCAAAAATAAAATAAAACAAGTATTTTAAAATCAATTTCTAGCCACAGTCATGGTATAGAAAGTTACTACTGACTTGCAAATATGCATTTCACTGGATTCTAACTGACACAATGATCTGAACCTATTATTACCTAAACACGAGGCTTGAAAACTTTCAGTTCGGTAGGGAAATAATTCGCATTACAAAAAATGCGATATATTCTACAATTGAACAAGTCGGTAACTAATTTATTACTATATTTCAAAAGAAGCAAACATAATATAAATGCAGGGTTGATGATAAAAATTCCAAATGTAATAGAACAATGAAAACTTCAGAATCATACAATACCCGTTTAAGTACATTGTATAGTAATAATAAATAGCACTATTACTTACTTACTTACGCCTATTACTTCTAATGGAGCATAGGCCGCCGACCAGCATTCTCCAACCCACTCTGTCCTAGACCTTCTTTTCTAGTTCCATCCAATTCTTGTTCATTTTTCTCATGTCTGTCTTCATTTCCCGGCGTAATGTGTTTGTTGGTCTTCCTCTTTTTTTTCGGCCTTTAGGATTCCATGTGAGGACTTGTCTTGTGACGTATTTGGGTGCTTTCCTCAATGTGTGTCCTATCCACTTCCAGCGCTTCTTCCTTATTTCTTCCTCCGTTGGGATCTGGTTTGTTCTCTCCCACAATACGTTGTTGCTAATAGTGTCCAGCCGAAAAATCTGAAGTATTTTGCGTAGACAACTGTTAATAAACACTTGTATCTTCTGGATGATGGCTTTCGTAGTTCTCCAGGTTTCCACCCCATACAGTAGAACTGTCTTGACATATGTGTTGAAGATCCTGACCTTGGTGTTGGTCGACAGTTGCTTTGAGTTCCAGATGTTCCCCAGTTATAGATATGCTGCTCTTGCTTTGCCGATCCGCGCCTTTACACGTGCATCAGATCCAACCTGTTCATCAATGATACTGCCCAAATACGTAAAGGTTTTTACATCTTCCAAATCTTCTCCGTCAATTGTGATTGGATTGGTGCATTCTGTGTCGTATCGGAGAATCTTGCTTTTCCCTTTGTGTATATTGAGACCTACTGCTGCTGAGGCTGCTGCTACTCCGATCGTCTTCTCCTGCATTTGTTTTTGCGTTTGCGATAGAAGAGCCAGATCACTTGTGAAGTCTAGATCGTCCAACTGCATCCTAGATGTCCATTGTATCCCGTGCTTCCCTTCAGATGTTGACGTCTTCATGATCCAGTCGATTATCAGGAGAAAGAGAAAGGGTGAGAGTAAGCAACCTTGCCTAACACCGGTCTTCACCTCGAACGACTTTGTCAACTGTCCTCCATGCACGATTTTGCAGTGTAACCCATCATATGAATTCTGTATGATATTGACTATCTTCTGAGGCACGCCGTAGTGTCGAAGAAGTCTCCATAGTGTTGTTCTGTTCACGCTATCAAATGCTTTCTCGTAGTCAATGAAATTGATGTAGTGATGAATTCCATTCAGTTGATTGTTCCACAATGATCCGTAGAGTTGCGATTTGGTCTGTACACGATCTATCCTTACGGAAAATAGCACTATTCTGATAATAATATTGAGAGTTATTACCAACCTTCAATATCTAAATACAGGTTGGTGTTATAATAAAAGAACAAGGCTTATACGAATATTCGTCAAGATTAGAACGAATAGATTGACAGAAATTGGGCGCCGAGTAAAGAGAATTCCTCATATGTGAAAATTATATTTGAAATTATCTCAGATATTGAAATTTAAATAATTCCAATGTTTCGTCCAGCTTACTTGTCTGGACTTCTTTAGGGTAATAATCAAAATCATCAAATAAATATAAAGCTTTTAACAAACAAAGTTCTTTTTTTGCAAATCGGAAAAAAACGTTCAGGGAAATTGATGGAAAACTGTCACCATCATCGGTCATCTGATTGATCAGAACTGTTCTAGGTTAACATATCATTCAAAAGAAGTGAGTGAATGGTAATCAGGGGTACGAAACACACATCAACCATCTCAGTTGATAAAGACTCACTGCATTTTCATCATCATCATCATCATCATCATCATCATCATCATCATCATCATCATCATCATCATCATCATCATCATCATCATCATCATCATCATCATCATCATCATCATCATCATCATCATCATCATCATCATCATCATCATCATCATCATCATCATCATCATCATCATCATCATCATCATCATCATCATCATCATCATCATCATCATCATCATCATCATCATCATCATCATCATCATCATCATCATCATCATCATCATCATCATCATCATCATCATCATCATCATCATCATCATCATCATCATCATCATCATCATCATCATCATCATCATCATCATCATCATCATCATCATCATCATCATCATCATCATCATCATCATCATCATCATCATCATCATCATCATCATCATCATCATCATCATCATCATCATCATCATCATCATCATCATCATCATCATCATCATCATCATCATCATCATCATCATCATCATCATCATCATCATCATCATCATCATCATCATCATCATCATCATCATCATCATCATCATCATCATCATCATCATCATCATCATCATCATCATCATCATCATCATCATCATCATCATCATCATCATCATCATCATCATCATCATCATCATCATCATCATCATCATCATCATCATCATCATCATCATCATCATCATCATCATCATCATCATCATCATCATCATCATCATCATCATCATCATCATCATCATCATCATCATCATCATCATCATCATCATCATCATCATCATCATCATCATCATCATCATCATCATCATCATCATCATCATCATCATCATCATCATCATCATCATCATCATCATCATCATCATCATCATCATCATCATCATCATCATCATCATCATCATCATCATCATCATCATCATCATCATCATCATCATCATATCATCATCATCATCATCATCATCATCATCATCATCATCATCATCATCATCATCATCATCATCATCATCATCATCATCATCATCATCATCATCATCATCATCATCATGATCTTTATCACTACCATTATCTTTAATATCAGAAAGTCAATATTTATTTACACAAAGTCATTCGTGTTTTGTTTCATGTTCATATGAGGAAGTGATTTCATATTAAATTTCTTTTTTGAAGTATATAGGTTAAAAGTTCATCAGCTGATGTTATCTCTGTTTTTTCTTTTCTATCATTGATAATATGTAATAATAAGTAGTATATATGAATAGATACATAGATACATTAAATGGTAAATGGACATTGAAGAAGAAAAACATTCTATTGGCACCTTAAGGCAATTTTAAAATATTTTAAAAGATGACACTCATTCAATAACATATGTTTGATTATAATCAACGATTCTCAGCACAAGTTATATTCAACATTGTAATAACACTTCCTGATTGATAAACATTTAAACTGTGAATAATAATAATAGAATACATGTGTATAACATTATCTAAACAGTAGTTATCTGTCATCTATAAACGTTTCCAATAAGGCTTGCTTTTTTAATCTTTCTTTCTGTTTGTAAGCAAATTCGATAGTGGCTTGCAGTGGAATCCCGGACGCGCGTCTCGTCCTATTTGGAGCTCATCAGCTGGATGTACCTGCATCTCAGAGTTGATGTTCACTCCAGGACTCGAACCCAGTACCACTCGCTTCAAATGCCATCGCGTTATCCACTCAGCTACTGAGTCCTGATAGCCACTTGCTTGTGCAATTGGGTGAATTTGAATTCACTGCAATTGATCAGTCTGTTTTTGGCATATGTGCATACTGTGCATATGCCTCTATATTACCTTAATTCACAAGCTATTTGTAAGCAATGATGGATAGTGGCTAGCATACGCACAGTATGCACATATGCCAATAACAGACTGATCAATTGCAGTGCTAAACCTTAATGGGAAGATACAAGCCAAACAATACCAAGTGACTTTCTTTCTATTGTTAATACACTTAATTTACGAATTTATTAATAGTTACTTGTTATTGTTCAAAGTGATAAAGGAAGTTAGACGCATTCAAATCATTTGAATAGTACTTCTTAAGTTTCTTTACAATTCGATTAATGATATGCTGTATATATACTCTCCATAGTACTCCGACAAGGGCTCAATGTATTTATTAGTTCATCGTGGAAGTCTTAAGACTATCAAGTGGTTGTAGGTGATCATCAGGATTTCCTAGTTGATCAAGGCTTCATGATGGTCTTCGTCAGTAAAAAGCGCCCGTAATTTGTTTAACGGAAACTGATACATAACAACTAGTATAAGATATAATAAGTAATATTGTCAGAGAATATACATCTATGTGATGTATAAACTTTGATAGTACTCAGGAATGAATGTGATTAAATAAAAATCGTTCATACTTTGGCCGTCAACTATTTTGTTTTTTTGATATCCATTCACTGAAGTATAGGATAAATGACTCAACTTTGTGAATGACAATAACTTGGTCATAATTATGTCTCACAATCTATTGCTCAATCAGTGCACAGCTTCAAACAATTTATATCTGTGTTATGGCCTGTTTGAATATCTGGGCTAATTGATCCTATCATCTGGATATTTCAACATGCCATCTGTTTTCTTGTTTGCTTAAACACAACATTATGCCCATTATCCTCATAACCTATTCAGGTGTGTTTGTGGAAAGTTTACGACATTTTGCCATACAAGTTACAAAAGAGCGCAATCAAAGACGTCGTGACTGCTGTTATATGCATCGAAAAGAACGTACATTATTCAGTTGTTGATACCCAAACTGCTAATACCTAACTGGTTGCCACTCAATATTTATCGCAAGGATCGATTAAGAAATAAGAAAGGGAAACTTGTTTAATTAGTTTGTGCTGTGAATTCTATATTGTACCAAAATATAATATTGAATAAATTCAATAATCAAAAAAATTAAGTATAGAGCTTTTGTTGTCATTCTGTACATTATCTACTGAATTTACTTGATTGAGAAATTATTTTCCAGTTACTATACAAATGTGTTGATGGCCTTGATTATGATTAACTATCTGATGTAACCCTTGTGGAATAACTGAAAACTTGGCTTATACATAATATCGATGCTGAATCTATTGTCTAGAATGACAATGACTGATGATCTGCAATAAAAATCAATTAACTTTGAGAACACAATGCAGCCAAAATCATCTAAATGACCATCATCATAACACCACTGTATTTAGTTATATATTTAGAAAATATGTTTTTTCAGTAGTTGAAATCACGAGTCAACTGAAGCTAGACCATCATGGAAAACCTGGAAGCACTGGACTGCCGTTTCGTCCTAGTCTGGGACTCCTCAGCAGTGCGCATCCGTGATCCCGCCTCCCGCGAGATTCGAACCCATGGTGGTCTAGCTTCAATTGACTCATGATTTCAACTATTGAAATTACTAAAATCTCCACGGAACCCCTTCTGATATGTTTTTTTCTACAAATTTTCAGAACACAATATTATATCAATTTAAAAAGCAAACTTTCTTAAATAATTTGTAAAAAATATTGTACTTTAGAGAAACGATGTTGTATATATATGTCAATCGGACTTGGTTGTTGACTGAAAATTTATTTTAAATTTTTTCTAGTTATAAATATAAAATTATCATTATAAGGTTGTAGTGATTGTTGAGCATAGATTGATATTATGGATGAATGGATGTTAGACCACCGTTGAAGACCTAAAAGAACCGGACGGCCGTCTCATTCTAGTATGGGACTCAGCAGTGCACATCCACGATCCTGCACACGGCACTCGAACCCAGGAACTTTGACCTCGCGCACGAACTCTTAATCTCTAGACCACTAAGCCTGCATCCAGCGGTATTAATGTCTGACTTCAACCAATCCACGATATTGCGCGCCCATCTACCACTGTCATCAGTGAGTAACTGCCTCACAACAGACACAGTTGAAAGTTCTTGATAACCCATATTAAACGATTACTAACCAGAACTCATAACTCCATATTTTAATTTTAACACAGCCTTAAATCCTACTTATAACATGCAATCCAAAATATTATTCCAGCTTCATACTCAAATTTTAAACCTTAGCCCTAAATCCATATCTTAATTCCAAAATTTTATCCTTAACTATTTTTTGGGTTTTTATATGATGAACTGAGTGAGTCTTGATTGCTCACAGATAAGCTTTATTTTCTCAAGGACACAAGAAGAGTTTAGTAAACTTTCAGCTCAATGGTTATCTAGCTGATTTCAGTCAAATAAAATGTAAATATTCTTGGTATCATTAATATTAACTTGCAGTACAACCAATAAACTTAATAATACTCCATTTTTATTTCAGTAATGTATACCTGTACAAAACTAGCTAAAATAAGCTCAAAATATAATATTAGCTTTCCTCTGTAAATTTTTTGTTCAATTTACTTACTTACACCTGTTACCCTTCATGGAGGAGAATAAGCCGCCCATCAACATTCTCTATTCAACTCTGTCCTGTGAAATCCTTTCCAGTTGCTATTCATTCTATTAATATCTTCTTCCAATTCTTAATGCAATATGTTGTTTGACCTTCCTCTTTTTTCGTTTTCCCTTCAGGATTTCAAGTTAGTATTCACTTCATGATTCAATCTAATGAATTCTTCAATAGTATGTTTTATCCACTACGAGTATCTATTTTGTTCAAACATGTATAAAATTGATGCATTTCATGAACTATGGTAATGTCAAATATTGAAACATACAAAATTCCTCCCCCCCAAATAAAACAAAGAAATTTTTCTCGTGTATTTTTCTTTTCTAGTTAATATATCATAGAATCTCTTTAAAGGTTTCATTGATTATTTTAACAAGAGACGTTAAACGTTTGATTATTCATTCAAATAGATGGTAGGATATGAATTTCAATTTCTTTGGTTCATATTTTTAAAAAAATAAGTTTTCTTTTTGAGGGAGTTTATCCTTGCAAAAAACTTAAGGCGAGAGAGAGAAGCAAGGAGGGAGGGAGGAAGATAGCGCGAGACAGAGAGAGGGGGGATAGAGAGAGAGAGAGGTAAAGAGAGTTATTTTGTCAGTTTTTTTTCATTTTGAATTAAAAAAAACGTTATTCATGCATAAAATATAATTCCCTTTTTGAAAAAAACAAAAAAATTTTCAGTCTGATATTGTATTTATTAAAATTATGACAAATATCTAAGGCAAAAGATTTTAATAATTATGCAACAAAGAAATAATATTTAAACGGTATTGATTTCAGTGTGATAATACGGACGTATATTTGAAGTATAAGAATTTACATTAACAAATTGTATCTGTAGTTTTAAATGGATAAGTAGTCTTTATCACGTTCAAAATATAATTTATTTGATGTTACAGTCAAGTATGTCATCTAAACAGTTGAGATCATGAGTCATTTGAAGCTAGACCATCATGGGAAACCTGGAAACACTGGATGGCCGTTTCGTCCTATTGTGGGACTCCTCCTTGGCAGTGCGCATCCACGATCACACCTAGTGAGATTCAAACTTAGGATCTATCAGTCTCGCGCTAGGCGCTTAACCAACTGGACCACTGAGCCGACATCCAGTGGTGTTAATGTCTAACTTCAACTAATCCACGAAATTGAGCGACACATCCACCATTGTCATCAGTGAGTTCTTATCTCACAACTGACCCAGTCATCAATGATTTATTGGACTTTGGATTGATCTTTCATAAAACTGAAAGTTATTTACTTCATACATACTCTAAAGAGTCTCAATTTTATTTAGTGACCAAATGTTAAAGCTTTGATCATATTATTATTATGATGATAAACATCAGTCTATTTAAGGGTGATAATTTACACAAGATTACAAATCCGTCAACTAAGGTGATATCAAAATTCAGGTTCAACTATGAACAACTTTCAACTGACTGTTACGTAAAATATTGAAAGATATCGATCATTTATCCTAGAAAAATTAACAGTTCAAGTAAACTTTCATACACTTATCATTGAAATATGATAACTTTTAACAAAATAGTAATATCAAGCTGAATATTATGGCTATATGTTATTTTATGAGTGACTGTTGTTGTTAAAAAGTGAATATAACGACTAGTGTACATTCAAAATAGAAGGAATTTCACAAAACAATCAATAGTAGTCATTATTAATAATTTATTGTAAGTTTCTTATCAATTCAAAACTTTTCTTGATCACATTCAGTTTTTTATTAGTAGGACAATTATTATAAGTTCATGTGGATGATGTTAAAGCAAGCAAAAATTAATTTTGATTGAGATCATGAACCGACTGATGTTAGATCACCATTGAGAACTTGGAATCACTGGATAGCCGTTTCATTCTATTGTGGGACTCCTCAGCTATGCGCATCTATGACCCCATTCATGGAATTCGAATCCAAGACCTGTCGGTCTCGCGCGCGAACGCTTAACCTCTAGGCATCCAACAGTGTTAATATATAATCTCAACCAATTCAAACGGCCTTTCAGTGCTTCCAGGTTTTCAATGGTGGTCTAACATCAACCGGTTCATGATCTCAATCAAAAATTAATATTCTCGACAATTTTATACTGAAAAATTAATTTCTTGTATTAATTCACACAATATGTATAATTGGTAAGTAAATCAAAGCTGTCAATCTCAAACCCTTGAAATCTACGGAGTCTATGAATTATTATTTATGAAAACAAGTACGATATGGTTTCTCAAACAAAATCGTTATGATAAGTACAGAAATAGAAAAGAATGTCTATAGTTAAAATACGTCTATAAACAGAACAGTAATGAGATATATGATAAATTAATAACAGTCATACTTATAGACTACAGTATTCATAGGTTATTAAACAGACAAATATATGCTGTATCACTATTAACCTAAGCTAGACTAATAGGCATTTGAAGTAAAATATTACTGGATAGTTGTTTTATCACAGATGTAACTAAATCAAAAAAATTAATTTAGGATTTTTCGATTCTATACGTCACATATTTTTCTTTGTTAGAGTACGTTTAAAGACTGATAAATAATAGACAGTTGTTTTGTAGTAGTGTGGGAATCTTTAGAACTATCCAACCAGAATCTCACCTAGGATAAAACTTCTGGAATTCAGATCACGCCAGGAGCACTTAAATATTAGAGCCAGTAGATCAGCGTTTAATAGTAAATTTCCGGTTTTGACCAATCTATTGTAGAACTGAACGACTAATCTAATATTCTGTGATTCATAAATTTCATTTATAACTTAACGCAAATCAATCTGTGACATATAAAAGTTATAAATTAAACCAGTACCCCTTTAAACAATAAACTTGACAATATTGAAGCAATTTATGTATTTAATAAAATCCATGTTTATTGACACCTACTTTGCTTATGTACGTTTATATATTGAGAAGAAAGAAATTTATCTTTGGTAATTAGTAGTAATTATTTTTCTGGTTAGCGAAACTCTGGAAGATATGGAATCCTTC